AAATGGTGTTGTTATAGGAACCAACAATGGAAAAAATTACCTAGTGGAAGGTGACGCATGCATATTAGGATTACAAATAGTTTGAGTATCATTAGCATTGGAAGTTGTAATCGCTGAAGATGGAGCAGCAACCTTTGGCGTACTACTGCTTCGTGTCATCCCATGGCATTCGGCTAAATCTGATGTAAGCATAAATGCTGTGCAACAGGGTATGCAAAAAAAGAAATTTTACTCAAACAATTCACAGGTATAAAACTAGTTACAAACATCAAGAACAAAAAGTAAACCTGCAGTAGGGCAGTCTGTTAGTACATTATCAACATCTCGTGCGATTGCGCACTGTAAACCATCTGGAGTACATCCTTCTGGAAACGTTACGAATCGATACACAAACTTCTGCCCAATTACCTGCAACAGATCTTATATGCAAAAAACGTGGAAACAATTCCTTAGATACCAAAGGAGTAATCACTCATGACGATTTCCAAATTTCACGTTATTCCGAAAGATGTCTCCAGCATTTGCATTCTCTCATTTCATTAGTTCTTCCGCAGTCCATTTACGTTCTCCATAGCAAGATGTTTTAAAACTAGCAAAGCAAAATGACCGCAACGATCATTTATTTGTGGTTTCTACATGCCTTAATAAACCATGCACAGCGTTTAAAGCCAGAAAAATCAAAACGAGTGTCTGGAATCACATACAATGGCTGAAGACATTATCCGTGGGAAGAGTCGATAAACATGCTCAATTACCTTTTTGATGATATTCTTATCGTAGTAATATCTCAGTGCACGCGATAACTTATCGTAATTCATGTGTGGTTTGCCTTTTCGTTGTCCCCACAGTCGAGCAACGGCTTCTGCATCCAGTAGCTGCAAAGGATAATATCGAAAAAGTGGCAACCATCTGTCTAGAACGAGCTTCTCCACTGCCTATCAATCATATCGTCCCGTTCCCATCTCACGTCTACACCCTTCCTCTCCTTGTGAACTACTCTAAACCGAAGCAAATATTTACGATTTACTGCTTGTATGAATAGTCCTATGCTCAATACACTGTACTTTTACTTCTTTTCTCAGAGGCATATTATCCTGTCCACCTCATTACATATGCAAAATAATTCTTGATCCAATTCATTTAATCTTGGTTTTTTATTGCAAATCTTGGTCTTCCTTAAAATTAATAAAATTCGAAGAGCTTGATGATGCCCATAAAACTATCATGTTGCCTATAAAACTTTAATAGCAGATGATGCCTATCAACTATCTTGGAAAGGAAATGTCAATCAGCGTGATATCAAAAGGAAACGTCAATCAACGTGATATAAAAAGATTTGATGAAATTATTTAAAAAGATTGGTTACCTTAAATTCCCCTTGTTGATTTGTCCATTGTATCAAATCTGCATGTTCTCCTTTGAGTAACAACTCTAGAAGAAATTGCCACAAAGTGATATTAGAGTCTGCAGTAGTTATTGTATGTGAATTGCTCGATGGACGCTGTAATCCATTTTTGACATCCTTCGGAGTAGATCGTTCGCTGTCGCAGCTTTCATGTGTAACATTGACTGTAACTGCAGCTGCTTGTTCCATCACAGGAAATGTGACCAGAGATGATTTTCCGTCAATCGTTATACCCTGATCCAGACCCATTACTGGTAGAGATGTGACTGGACTTCGGGTGGAACTGCTTCGGCTATTGCTGCTACAGCTTCTACTATTCACCCCACAGCTAAACGTGAGACCTGCAGGACGAGCTTGGCTGCTATAAGAGGATATGGCAGTTGAATGTAACAGGATTGCGGTTGCAGTGAGCGACTTTTGCACCGCTCTACGCTGTTTCTTCTACACATGAAATTAAGTCCAGAAACTGCTTGGCTTTGTTCTGGAAATCGCACCACTAACCGCCAGATTACTGCACCTCTACACTGAAATTACCCAATGTTTCAGTATTTTCAAATACTTTTTTGGTTTGACGCATACACGCCCTACGTTCTTTGCTAATAAATTAATCCAGTATGTCAGACATATGTATAAAACAGAGCACAGATAACACTGCAACGACTAAACAGAATAAAAATATTCGCATGAAAAAACACCCTGCATATGCGAAGCAGTTGTTCATAACTTTTCTCCAATCATCTTAAGCAGTAATCAATAAATCTTCTTAATCTTCGCAAGTATTATGGATGATCACCAGTTATGGCTTTTTGTGTACGGATTGAAGTTATTATCTATACAGTAAATTACTAAGTTTAAGATCTCGTTGGAAAATGATTTGCAATATCTTCGTTCTTTGCAGTTTACACGAACCTCACAAATCAGTATTTTCAAATAGTCTTTAGTTTACGATTTTCTGACTAAAGTTTGTTAAATAGGTAATATGAACTACTGAGTGCTGAAACTAAACCGTAACAATCAATACCACTTACCTGGTAGCATACTTTCACCTAGATAAAAACTGACATTTGGTAGCAAAATAATGTATTCTTCCTGATACTCTAACCGCCATGCACTAATTTCAAATGCATAATACTATCGTTCATTGCATTTCCACAATAGGAACAAGATTAATTCAAAGAGTGATATCTGCAACAACCTAACCAAAAAGATCAAGACTTATTCTTTGATCCTACTACTAATGCTTATTAGCATAGGAAGTTTTGATAGTCATAAGAAATGATACAAGACTTGACTAGTTTGAGGAACGTCTTCCAAAAAAATAAACAGATAAGAGAACTAATGGAATGAAAAAAGAGAAGCTGCAAAAAAGGAAGTAAAGAGCTAAAATTACAAGAATGATATCTTAGTATTTGGCATAAAAAAGTAATGTTTTCAAATCACAGTATCCAAGGAGCAAACACTGTACAGTGAAAATGAAAACGTTATCTTGTTGACTTTCAAAAAATATATGCGGAATATAAGAAATATTGATGAATAATAAGAGCAAATTAATCATAATAAACACTAAATGAATGCCCATTATTAAAAAGCCAAAACAATTGGAAGATGAATAAGTATTGTATTTGCAGAACAGATGCGTTTGTCTGAGTAGTTCGAAACAAACGATGAACATGTAAAAATATATGAAACTTACCGGACATCATATCTTTCACACCACAAACCATGTAAAACCTTATTACAAAGATTGAGTGGACGGTATTTCTAGAAAGGAATAAACAGTTATGATGTAAGAGTTGGACAGCACAAAAACAAGTGTTTACAGGACAAACACGATGAAGGTGATTAGCTTTTCATCATCAAAATATAACAAAATAACGCAAATAAACAAGTGCTACAACATCAAAAAAGTAAGTTATTTGGTTTTTTGCTGGGATATTCTCAAACTAGAAATATATTATGTGTAGCGAACAACATGCAAATACCTGGTATTCAATGTATTTGGTTTATTCAAGTGATCAGAAACAAAAGTTATTTCTCGCAGTTGTTTCACTCATTCTTACTAAACTTTTCTTTCTCTGGCAATTTACAGCAATGATCTCTAAGCAAATATTTTAATTAGTATACATTAATCTGAAAACTGTGATGGCGAACGCTGTTAACAAGTTTCCTACTGCTGCAAACATGTTTTTGTGTACGGGACGAAGTTATTTTTAATACAGTAAATTATTAAGTTTAAGATCTTGTTGGAAAATGATTTGCAAACTCTTCTTTGTTCTTTTCACTCAATGCATTACTCGTTTTCAATTTTATATTTAGTAGAACAGTTCAAAAGTTGATGGATGCAAGTGATTTTTATGAGAAAAAATTAATAACTTTTGCATAATCCGCAAATTACTCAACTTTTAATTCTTTTCACCATTTTCCTCTCATAACAGTAAGTGTTTGAAGGTGTCTGACTCGAAAAATAATAAGTTGGTGCAAATATTAGGCACTGATGTGATTGGAAACTACTTATTTCTTATGGGTTGCAAAAAAGGAACGATCTGTGTTGAAAGCAATACTAAACGAAGAAACCCTTAATGACTTCAGGAATAAAGGATAAGGGAAAAAGCAACAGGCACTTGCAGCTGAATTTCCATATCAGTGAGGGAAAAAATATTACAGGCTGTATGATAAAATTCAACTTGTTGGTCGACTGATATCAAAGGAAGGGAAACGAGTAAGGATCCAATTATGCAAAGTGAGTCAATATATAATACAGACTGCTTGTGGGTCACTCCGGAAACATTTCAGTAAAAAGCTGAAAGAAAAAGCAAAATAGTGTAATTCAGGAACGAATAACAAAAAAGTATGTGAATGAATACAGTACTACCGAAGTAGAGGCCAACCTAAAGTTCACTTGTACAAATCATAAAGCGTAATAAATCAGTGATTATATGTGTGCCATGAGCAAATGGCAGTAGAAAGAAGTAAAAGAATAGCGGTAGAAACAGAAGCTGGTTTCAACGTACCTTCTTCTTCTGCTCTCAATTAACCATAAATAGCGTGAACTGGTAAGAGTGAAAAGCAGAAATATCATAGTAAATGCTAATTCATTGAATGGCGAAACTTACGTCACATTCTTCGGTTCATTTTATTACTCACTCATCGATTCTCTTCAGCAACACGTATGCTTGCCTGCAGGTAGCGGAAGAATGCATGTGCTAAGTTGAGAAAACGTGCACTTCCTCCTTTCTTTTTCCGTAATGTTGGAGAGGATGTGTGTAAGTCGCTTTCACACATCCACCTTTACTACGGTTTCTGAAATACTGTTCCATTCAATTTACAACAGATGCATATGGAGCGAGAACGAGTATCACATGTGTGATTTTTTTTTTTACCTCTAATAAACTGAAAACCGCACTGCATTTATTTCAGTACCAAAAATAATAATTTTGACACCGGAGTAATAATTCAAGTATGCATATATAATAAAGGGAATGATGTAGAAGGGTATTGAAATTTAAAAAGTAATAAATGAAATGTTACATCAAAAGAAGGTGATAATTATACTTGTTGCTTTTAACTACACATAAAAGTTGATTAGTAAACACAATTTCTGCAGAAAATAGCATAACTGTTCTCACCAGTTCTAAGGATCAATTCTAAGAAAAGAATATTTCACAAATTCTAAGGAAAGAATATGTCATCCCGTAATTTCCCATTTTTCTCTAACCTTGAAACAAACATAGTATCTACATTGATCTTTGACAAATTACATACCTTTCATTTGCAGGTAACAAACTAATCCTCAAGACAAATTACGCAATTACAAAAAAAAAGTGAAGGGTCTCACATATAGATAATTTTCATTAATACAGAGGAGAAATAAAATTAACAGTTTGGAATAACCCTTTTCTTTCCTTCTAAATGATGCATGTTTTATAAACTTTTTGCTTTCAAAATACCTTCATTGTTTTAGCTTGTTGTCTTTCTTCAAATCGATTCTAAAACATCGAATTTTGAAGGAAAAAGTTATGATGCATATTCATTAGGCGCTAACAATAATTTATCATGCTCACTCATAGTTATAAAGTGAAATCTTGACGCGTGATATCGTCAGTGACGAGTTTGCTTGAAAATAAATACAGCAAACTTTCCAATGCTCTGCATCAACGTTTCACTAGGATTTTTCACGCTATTTGTTCAATCAATGCTTCGCATATTCTGCTTTTTACAGTATTAAAGCCAGTTAGTTAGTTACTGAACTCAAAGTAAAATTTACTCTGAGAGAAGGAATCTACCAACTGTTGCTGATGAATGAGTGAGTAATATGATGGCAGTGCGTGGTTACTAATGAAGATTTGTCTTCGACAGTAAGCAGCCATCAAGTTCGCTATTATTTTATAGCTACCACAGTACCTAACTACCTAATCCTAAATTCTTTTCACTAGTCTCTTCATGTAAAATGCGCAAACTGCTGCCACTCGACAAAGATTGAGCTTCCCCCATTTTTAAAATTTTTTTTAAAATAAGAAATGGAAAAAACAACAGTTTAGAGAAACAAAGACAAAAAAAATTTCATGCGTATCCTCCAAGAACAACACTTTGGATCCTTTCCCATAAATTAAAACAAAGTACCGTCGTGTAGGCACTAGTAGGAATTTTAATAACATTATTTCTCGTACAAGAGAAAAAGCTAGCAGCAATATTAAATAAGCGTAGTGCACAACTTGAAGTAAGAGTTAAAAGATTCAAAACATTAATTCTACCATTCCAAACATAATGAGAATGCGTTGATGATAAATTTTCAAAAACAGTGCTAATACTTGAAAATTCAACCATGCATAATTTTCTTCTAGTGCTAAAGGCTGAGCACTTATGACCGACTTTCAAATAGTCTGTTCAAAAAACTTATTAATAAATTAACAATCTTCAAGATCTGAAAAGAGATGAATGAAGGAGATAAATCTTTGCGATGGCGATACACAACGTTGACGTAAAGATGTGCTGGCAAACAAATATGTGTTCTGAATGTCAAGTTGACAATTTACATAGTTTCCACAGCGCATGTTGAAAAAGAATAGGAAAAGTAAGTTTTCAATGGGGCAGCAATTTCCTTTAAACTAAAAAAACAAAAGAAAAAACATCATCAGTTCCGTATTCATAGTTCAGCATTCCAAGAAAGTGGAAAAGAAGAAACATAAACATGTACATGCACACATGCGTGCACAGAGACATACACCTTCATATAGAAAGATCTGTTCATACACAAACAATAATATATAAAAGACATTTAAATTCAAAAGATGGTTTGCTTTATTCTTTCTCCCAGCAAAGAAAGTGTGAGCAAGAAACAGCATTCATCAACTGCACATTGATAGATATTTTGACGTAACATGTGTAGCAGCAAAAAATGACGAACGTCCTGAGGGAAGAAGGATAAAGTTATGAGTGTTGAATAAATGCAGCGATCATATCAGCTTCCAAGAATCTCTACAAATGCAAAACTGTCCTTCTAACAGTAATCACTTATGATTCAAACTTGCCAATGAACATTTCAAGTGCATCATGATTTAGTTCCCAATTTAATTCTAGCAGCATATGCAATCTCATTCCAGTCATATGATTATCAAGGTAAAATGCAATGAAGCATATTTTTGTTATTCATTCAGTCCAACAATATCAAATAAAACAGAATAATGAACGTTTCTTACACAGGTACTATAAGGTAAATCAATATTACGGAAATGAAGATCATGATAACTGTGTAAAAGAAGGTTGACAATTTGACCTTGAAATGATATTTGCGATGTATAAGAAAACTTTGTCTACTTTCGGATGAACAAATCAAAGAAGATACACAAATTTCAGAAATGGCTATCAGACTGAACATCCACATTAGTGAATGGTTAGAATTGATATCAATGGAGATACACAAATTACTAGCATTTCCTATATTATAGCAAAGAGGCATCACAACTAATGAAAAAAAAATCATATCTGAAACTATACGGAAAACACCTGCCCAAGCAGAATTTGAATAAAGAAGGAATAAGAGGAATTAAATACTAAATAAATAAACATAGTCACTATTGGCAGAAATCAGTGTTGTAAGCATGGAAAATCCAAGGTAAGAATGGTTAGAATTTATATGAACTATAACATAAACGGGAAAGTTAACTGCATTGTTTTAGGCAACCTTACAAGGAAAAGTGTGGAAGGGAATAATTGAGAGTATTGACAGGAACGGTGCAGGGAATGATAAGGGAGGCGGTACGAGGACAGCAAGAATCAAGCAGTTCACGTGGGAGCATCAAACACGCAGCCTACCCAGTCATCTCTTTGGCACGCTTTCCACTTTACCAGATTCTATCTCCAAACAACACCTACGCTCATCCCATCTACCTGTCTGCAGACATCGTTCTTTACAACAGAAGAGAAAGGGCTCATCTTGGAAGGAAAGTGGTATCAGCTGTTTCCACTGATTATGCTAAACCCGAGATCTTAGATGAGAAACAAGCCATTGCTACCTACTGCTCTTGTTTGCTCCCTCTCCTATCTTCCATCAATTGCTCTCACACAGATTATAAGACTAAGCTAGCTACCAATACAATCAAAACTAATTGCAGTTAATCTGAGAAATAAATGCAATAAAAACCTGGCAATATATACAATGAAGGATTACTATTATCCAGATTTCCAGTGTGAATGGAAAAGGAAAATCGAAGCATGGAAAGTTGCTCGAAAAATGTTCATGTCAGAAGAATGAAAAAGTGAAACAAACACGTACGGAGAGAGAAACTGAACAACGAAAATGATGCCTGCAAAGTTTCTGGCAATGGTTATATTTCTGAACCACTAGGGAATGGTATGGAGAAATTAAGTGTCAAATGTCTAATCTCCAAATGACATACGTGACATATACAGAATTGCAATCTGTCCATTTACTGCTTAATAATCTTGAAACTTCTGGAATCTGGCTGTGGTATAGCAGCAGAACAAATAAAGTGATCAGTAATAACTCAAGATAATGAGTCACGTGAGTTCACACATTAATCTAAGCATAAATAACAATACAACTTTATTTTTTATCTTTGATAAGATGTGATCGCATTATGAAGCTCAAGAAAATGAAATACCCATTTTATTTGTAATTAATACTAGTTCCCTAAGCCATGCACTATACAGCGATCGTTCCACATGATATTCAAGAACTGAACAATTTTTTTGCAGCATCCAATTCAATCTTCAAATGAACGGAAAGCAGAGGAGAACTAATACAGCAAAGTAAACGAAGGTGATGGTATGTGGACAACAGTAATTATTATTATGCGCAATGTTCGATAGTGTCTTCGATAATAAATGCATTTCCTATGGGCTGTTAAGTGTGAAAATTTGAGATCAAACAATAGCCGCATTCGCCACTTTTTCCTTTCTTCTGTAAAAAACGAAAAATTTGAACTACCAGAATAAGAACTGGTTCGATTGAAATGAATGACCTTTCTCCACGTTTCACACATCTCTTTACAAAATCTGTCCACGGAACACTTGCTTGATATGTCTTTTTTGTTTTTTTACAATTCCTCAGCAACTTTTGCTCATTGCAAGTTACATCTCAGTCACAGCAAACATTTTCGACAAATGCATCTATGGAGTTGTCATCAGAAAATCTGTATTACACAGTTCACATTGATAACTAATAAAATCAATTATTATGCTACCTTTAGCTTTCAAACAATTTAAAGATAATACTTGTTCGTCTTCAGAGTTTAGAATTGATTTGTTGACTAGATAGATTATAAGTATCAGAGAAATGATTCTGGAGAAAGTTGAATCTTGGAAAATAGTGATTGTCGTCAGAGCTACCGATGCGAAGGAACCAACCACACAAAAAGTTGCTGTGGTTAACCTCCCTCACAGCTTCTTTGCTTGACGTCAAAAATGACTTTATTGGAAAATAAAAATGAGTGAGAAAAACTAGTGAGACATTTTTGCTAAGCTTCATTTTGATCGGTTAAAAGAAAAATCAGGGTAATCAATTAGCGATCGATCAAAAGAAAAGAAGTCGACAGAGAACATGTAGCTGCTAGCTAACTATACTTGACGCTTTTCCAAAGTTCAACGGTGTGGAAAACCACAACTCTTATCAGTCATCTTTCTAAATGCCATTATTATCATCATGTAGTTTTATCAGAGGAGCAACTATCTCAGTTTCAGCTAGTCTACTTTCTTCTACTGAAGACCAAATAGTTTAAGAGAGAAAGGAATAATACACAGTGCTGCTGAACTCACTTCAAGGAGACATAAGGAAAGAAAAGATTGAATGAGTGTGAGTTGTTTCTTAAATCATAGTTGTGTACTGGAGTTGCAAATTAGCTTTAGCACTCCAGTAATCACTACCAACAACTTTTCTGATGATATTTTTCTATTTATTCCTTACTTTGCATTGGCTAAGAAAACGAGCATAAGAGGTAGATAATATCATTGCCTGTACATGTAACACTCAAAGTATGATGCAACTGTTGTCGTAACTTTAATTACGAAGTTACCTGCCTAAATAATTACATCGTATAGACGTTAATACGAGGTGATATTCTAATTATTAGAAAATTTCATCCTTTGATGATTAAAGAAAGATCAAATTAGAACAGTCAGAGGTTGCAGTGCCTGTAAAGAGAAAGATTGACTGCACACTGTAAATACATAGAGTTGGTCATTTCTTCTTATTAACCGCCTGAGATATATAGTGGAACTCTGTCTGCTTAAGCGAACATGGGATGATCAGAATTACCAAAGAAAAAAAACTAAGAAACGATGTTCAGTGTAAGTGGAGGCAGAAAGAATGAGCACAATTACAAGAGAGTTGAAGTAACAGAAGTACGATGTTATGGCTGATTATCATGAAAAAAGAAGTTGAACATTTTTCATGCAAAAATCGAGGAAAACACAAATGTGCATGTGTTGGGAGTGAAGTTTAATGAATATTGGTAAGAACAGAGAGAACGGAAATAACTTGTATGTGTGTCATGTGCCACCTTATGAGAAGAAAGACTCTGGTACATTTCCTTACAGATGAGGGAGTGGACATTAGCGCACCGTTAGCCCTTGTCCTTGAAGAGGTAAAAACGGAGGAAAGAATAATGATTGTGCGTTACAGGTCCTGGAGTTGTTACTGGTGGCCATTCCACGAATAAAACGAGTAAGGAGATTGATGACAAGTGCCAGTACTGACTATCTTCAAGGCCGAGAGAGAAACGCAAGACAAGACAAATCTGACTAATCTTGGAGAGATGGTTTATCGTTAAAGGATTCTTCCAAAGGTAAAAGGATGCAGTAGGAGGGAGGGAAAACGTTTATTGTGCATAAAGTATCTGCCAGTAACTTACTCTTTCTCCATTTCAACAATTCACTCTTCTTCTGTAGAAACTGAGAGAGGAAAGATGCGTGTTGAGAAATGAATGCATGACCTTAATCGGAAATCAACTTTGTTACAACATTTTCTCAACTATTACTACATATAAACACATTTCGTTCTTCAACTGCAAGACGACAAGAAAATGATATTGATAATTGAAACTTTAGGATGATCAAATAAAATGAGGAGCATTACTCAACAACGGTGACAGTTATAATATGACTTCTCAGTAGCAAGACATTTTTCCCTAGCTCTTAATCACGAAAATCGTTTATTTTCATATCTAAGAGCATAGTAATGTACAATCGTTAATATATTATCAACTGCCAGAGTTATCTTCACTTGACAATTTTTCCAATAATGACTGTTATACCTGTCTTTTCATTAGAAATGACTTGCACAAGCCTATTCTGTTTACATAGTTCTTAATTCTATTCATAATAGACTATACTTATGTGATTATTCATTGATAGAAAGTCAAAAACATCTTAACAACTGCAGCAAAGGATTGTGAACAGAATTACATCAAATACCAAAAGTAAAAAAAAGGATGTGAGAAATCATGAGTTGAAAGATAAGGCTCAAGCTATAATAATAATTGTAATGAGTTTTACTTCATAAAAAAGATGAAAGAACGGCGTGAAAATCACATTAAAATTACACCCTATCTTGCTTGTCACAGTGACAATAAAGTCACAGAAAAGTGAGAGAACAATGCAAGGGAACAGAGTAGAAGAAAAAACCGGAAATTTTGTAGTTTAACCGGACTCAATTCATTTCTTTCAGATAACATTTTTCATATTGAGATAACTGAACATGGAATCAAACAATTTCCTTGAAATACCATCCTTTATGCCGAAATAACTACACATGGTTGTTAACATTCTTGACTTAATCATACCAGTCCCTGATAATTGAATCTACATTTTATTACCGACTGAGAATAATAAAAGAGGTTGAAGGTCCTCGTTCTTCAATACCCTAAGATTTGTCTATCATGATCTCATGACTGAAAAATATGACACTAGTGAAAAATATTGCATAAAAATGTGAGAATATTACTGAGGGCAAACATAATAATACCTACTGAGATGTAGAAAATTGTCTTTCCAAATAAACCTAATAAATGCAAGGTCTAAATCACAACTTTTTAAGAACTAAATAAATTAAATTAGAAATAAGCTTCTATTAATCATAATCATATTTTATAAACGAGATTAAGAATAGATCGAAGATAAAAAATACTAATAAATATGTAAAAATTCGCTCACGATAAAAAAATAATAAAAAAAATAAATAAATTCAATTCTTTTAAAAGTAACCATGACCTGCATTCATAAGATTTTGTTTTACTGCGGACTTCGAAATAAATTCGTTTTAAACTTAGAAGCTAGTTTTCAATCAGACTTCGCAATATAAAGTTTATTATATTTAACCATTAAATGAAAAAGTAATTGGTATTCTTTAATCACCAATAGTTTATAAGATTCACTTTTAAGGTTAATAAATGTTGTAAAGGAATTATTTTGATTTAAAAAATTTTGACTTCTAATTAGATGGTGTAAATTTCTTGAATTTTTTCAGTATCACTTCAGTCCTTTGTTTTTTAACTTCGAAGGAGCACAAGTTTTTTGACAAAATTTTGTCAATAAATTTCTAATAAAGATCGTTGCTAATTTCTTCTTGTTTCTGAAGGACTTTTTTTATGACATACGTAAGGGATTTTAAATATAATTTAGTCATGAGAGATAGTTGCCGCTACAGATCTTAAGGAAATTCTCCACATTTTTGTGCGACTATTTTAGCTTAGAAATTAAAAAATCACAATTCGAAATTTAAAACGATAAAATTATAAAACATTAGTGTTCAGAGAGAAAATGGTGGACTAGATTACGTGTCATTATCTAAAAACTGGTTGTCCAAAATTTTGCTCTGTTACATATATTTAAGCAAAATTTTACTTGCTAGGATGAGGAGAAATTTCAAAGACTAAATTATATTCACATACAATTATCAATGGCATGTTGCCAAATGCCAGCTTACTGTTTTGTATCAACTTGCTTCGTCATTATACTGAAGGTGAAAATGAATTGCAGTAAAAATACTTATAATTCGCTTTGATACAGATTATCATAAACATTGCTGGTTGAGAGCATCTGAATACGGTTTGTGACTCATGTATATTCTGTACGTCATTTAGTGCTACTGCTTCATATCC